CTTACCATTTATCATTAATAATATTTTTCAAACAACAATATTTCCAGATTTTCGAAACTGAAACTTTTATTTTATTACATTCGCAAGCGTACGATACAAATAAGATGTAGGATGGAATAGAATGTTAATGAAATGATGATCTGCTGATCGTCTTTTGTTTTCAGGGTTTCGTAACTCTAGGCTGAACTCTTTAAAACGAAACTCAATCCGCTCGACGCTCACCGCTCCTAGGTAGAATGTAGGTCCAATGTGAGGAGAAATAGGTCAATTGTAGGACAAAATAGATTCTATGTAGGGTCAAAATAGGTTTAATGTAGTGACAAAGGAGATTTAGTGTTAGTTAAAAATTAGTTAACCGTTAGATTCGTAATCAGCGACCCCAAAAACCCCCGAGTAACGAGTTTCAAATGAATCTGATGAATTTAAGAAAAATTCGTCCGCCATATTGGATCCGCCATTTTGAATTTTTAAAATCTGACTTCAAATTCGTAATCAGCAGCCAAAAATCTTAAAAGAACCATTTCGGCTGAATTTTTTGGACATTATTATTGGAGTATAAATGTGAAGCTGCTATATTTTTTAATTGGACATGGTCAACTTTGACCCCCTATATTTCTTAAACGGGGCACATGCTCATCTTGAAATTTTTCAGGGATTTTTGGGTCATCATAAGTAACTATTTGGCATAAAAAAAATTTCAAAAATCGAGGTACCGAAAACGGGCATTTTTTGTCCATGCTCTTTAACAGACGAACTTTATTGAACATTGCTATGAGATATCACTGATCCTTTAATAACCTAAGTTGTTGAGAATACTGTTGGTGAGGATGGCCAATTAGATTTCGATGTAAATAACATTAATTTTCAACAGGACGGATGTCCTGCATGCACTACCATCATGACATGCGTAATTATTTGGACAAAAATTATCCAAACAGGTGGATTGGAGGGGCCCGATTGAATGGCTCCCACGGTCTCCCGATTTAGCCCCTTCTTGTTATTTAGAATCGGTAGTTTTCAGAACGCCTCCAGGTACAATCGAAGAATTCCGAAATAGGATAGTTGTAACTTGTGGAGATATTCCTCCTGAGACATATAAGGAAAGAGTTTCACGATTGCTTGTTTCACTGTATGGAAGTCAATGGTGCTCATTCTGAGCATCCTCTGCAGTAACAGCAAGAAAATAACTAATATAAAGAGAAGAAGAAGAATGGTGGAGAGAGAGAATATACATTATACTTAACTGGAGAAATACACACGAAATAGATCCTTTTTAAGGACTCTATGATGTACAAATCCGACCAAACTGTACCTCCCCACGGTGTACATCGAGTAATGCGAATGCCGGCGGTACGTCAATTTTGAAGCTGCATATCTTAAGAATGGCTATTCGGCAAAAGATACACGTAGGTAGTATTTTGAAAACATCTCGACGAGGGCTACAAAAATATGTAATAAAAATGGGGATTTCCTCCTAAGAAAACATCGATTACATTGATAAAGTCACTCTTTTTCGTACCTGGCCTTGATAAAGTCATTCAAGGTCAAATCCATATTTTCGTCATCTGTCCTCCTTAATATCCTACAACTTTTGTCCGAAATATTTTTCCATATTTAAAACCATTTCCGAGATTCAGGGATGACTTTATAGACACCTTGTACATGTAACCCTTAGAAAAGTTATTCATGGATAAAAGTCAAACTTAAACTGAATATTGTAAGTAAATGAGACAAAAATGGCAAAAGAGAAGATATAAAGAAATGGAAATACAAATTATTAATAAATGTAAATGTTATTGATTTGGAAACATTCGTATTTAAATAGTTGGCCTGTGCTGAACAAATACCATATACACATAGAACAATATAATACTTTCAAAAGGTCTTAAATAACTGATACACACGCACCTTCAATTTACCCTTGCTACCAAATTACCTTGAGCTTACTTCCTCCTTTCCTATCACCATCTTATAATTTTCTTATTACTATCATATCCTCTCATCTTACCCCAGTTCCATACACATTATTTATTGTCCTCCTCCATATACAGATATAATATTTTTATTTACTTCACCTTGAATAAAGCTATTAGGTGTACAACTTTGCTTCCGCCGTTTTTTTCCGAAATTTGAGGCTTTATTGTAAAAAACTGGTTATACGAGGGCGGTCCGATAAGTACTTAGCCTCACCGCCCGATGGCGCCACTATCGCAAGAGAAATTTACTATCGTATAGTACATTCTCGTAGACGGCTACTGTCGAAATTTCAGCCGAATCGGACTCGTAGTTTTGTTTTGACCGCGTGTGGAAGCGGGCGTGTCCGCGGATTTTAGAAAAATGGAAAAAGAGCATATCGGTCGGTGATTCGATTCTTGTTTTTGGAAGGGAAATCGCGCAGCGAAATCAAAGAGCGCTTGGATGCTGTGTACGGTGACTCTTCTCCTTCGATGGCGACTGTCAAAAATTGGTTTAACGAGTTTCAACGTGGTCGCATGTCGGTTTTTGATGAGCCACGCCCAGGTGCCCCGAAAACGGCTACCACGGAGGATAACATGACAAAAATCCACGATCTCGTATTGGCAGACCGCCGATTGAAGATGCGTGAGATAGCTGAGACAGTAGGCATCTCAAAAGACCGCATGGGTCATATCCTGCATGAAATTTTGGGCATGAGAAAGCTGTCGGCGCGATGGGTGCCGCGTTTGCTCACTCCGGACAACAAGCGCAACCGTGAGACCACTTCAGAGCAGTGTTTGACGCTGTTTAAGCGCAATCCGAAGGAGTTTCTGCGTCGTTTCGTGACCGTCGACGAAACATGGATCCACTGGTACACACCAGAGACCAAGGAACAGTCGAAACAGTGGACTTCACCCGGCGAACGTGCTCCGAAGAAGGCGAAGACTGTCCTATCGGCCGGAAAGGTGATAGCCACCGTTTTCTGGGATTCACAAGGTGTGATCTGCATCGACTACCTGGAGAAGGGCAAAACGGTCACAGGGCTGTACTATGCCGAATTATTGGGCCGATTCGACGCCGAATTGCAGAAAAAACGGCCCCATTTGGCGAAGAAAAAAGTGTTCTTCCACCATGACAACGCACCGGCTCACACCTCTGCCCTCGCCATGGTCAAATTGGTCGAATTGGGCTACGAACTGCTGCCCCATCCACCGTATTCTCCAGATTTGGCCCCGTGCGACTTCTTTTTGTTTCCAAACTTGAAAAAGTCACTCGCCGGGCAGAAATTTGAGTCGAATGAGGAGGTCATCGCCGCCACGGAGACCTACTTTGCAGATCTCGAGAAAACGTATTTTTCAGACGGGTTAAAGAAGTTGGAGCATCGCTGGGTCAAGTGTATCGAGCTAAAAGGAGACTATATTGAGAAATAAATCGCCACTTTTCCAAAATTTTCGTTTTTCTTTTGTAGGCTAAGTACTTATCGGACCACCCTCGTACATTTATGATTTAAAGTATTGTCCATCGCTGGCCACTACTTTCTCCCATCTTTTGGGCAGCGTACGAATCCCGCGTTGAAAAAACTGGTCATCTTTTGAAGCGATCCACGAATCGATCCAATTTCTTACTTCTTCATAAGACCGGAAGTGCACGTCAACCAGGCCGTGTGCCATTGATCGAAACAAGTGATAATCAGAGGGAGCAACGTCTGGAGAATACGGCGGATGGGGTAAGACTTCCCATTTCAACGTTTCCAAGTATGTCTTGACCACTTTCGCAACATGGGGTCGAGCATTGTCATGCTGCAAAATCATTTTATCATGTCTCTCGTTGTATTGCGGCCGTTTGTCTTTCAATGCTCGGCTCAAACGCATTAATTGCGTTCAATAACGATCGCCTGTGATTATTTCAGTCGGATTTAACAGCTCATAATACACTACGCCGAGCTGGTCCCACCAAATACAAAGCATGACCTTGGACCCGTGAATATTCGGTTTGACCGTCGACATGGAAGCATGGCTGGGATATCCCCATGATTTTTTGTGCTTGGGGTTATCGTAATGAACCCATTTTTCGTCCCCAGTCACAATGCGATGCAGAAATCCCTTCCGTCTTTGCCTTTCAAGCAACTGTTCACAAGCAAACTAACGCCGTTCAACATCTCTCGGTTTCAACTCGTACGGCATCCAATTTCCTTGCTTCTGAATCATTCCCATGTCTTTGAGGCGTTTTGAAATTGCTTGATGAGTCATTCCCAATGATCGTGCCAATTCTTCTTGACTTTGACATGAGTCTTCATTAAGTAATGCCTCCAATTCTGCATCTTCGAAAACCTTCTCTCTTCCACCGCTATCGGTCTTCGACGTGAAAATCACCGTTCTTGAAGCGTTAAAACCACTCACGACACGTTCTTTCACTAATAGCGGCCTCACCATAAATATTTGAGAGCATTCAATGAGCCTTAGCCGCAGATTCCTTCATATTGAAGCAGAAAATTAAAACCTCCCGCAAATCACGAGAATTTGGCTCGCAAACTGACATTTTCAATCGAGAATAACTTTATGTTATTTGCAGACACAAATCGACTAATGTTTCTATGGGGTTATGTTGACAGATGCCCAAGTTTATTGCATGACGTCTATGATCTATTTATTTCAGCCACTACTTACCGCTAAAGCCATCTATAGGAAAACAGCGCAAGCAAAGTTGTACACCTAATACAACAGCTTATTTATTAGCATAAAAAGTTCAATAATTACGAAATAGCAAACTAAAAGCGAATAAAATATGTTTTTGAAATATCTCAAAAAGGCCCCATTTAAAAATCTAAAGTGATTTTGACCTGATTTTGACAACGTCAGCCAAAGTCAAACTAATAAAATTATTAAATAACCTTTTCTAAATCTCACCTTCTGAAATATTTTTTCGAAAAATATTTTCTTTCCAAAATATCAGACCATTCGAAGATTTTTCAAACAACGTGTATATAAATGAAAAAATTTATTTATATATATGTCAATAATTTATCTATAGTTATATGTTATTACCTGCAGAATAACGCCTTTATCGATTAAACTATGTTTTTTGGCAGTCATAACGAAGTAATGTGTGTCATCTTTATAATAGACGATATTTTCCAAGTCTATACCCGTTTCCTGATACAATTCTTTAAAAAACTTTTGATTGAATATAAAAGCGACACCACTGATCTCTTCCACACGCGCCTCTGCCTCGGTTCGTTTATTTATAAAATTCGCTGTAATTGCAATAGCTAGTTTTCCTCGAAACTCTTTTCGTTTGAAGCCTTCTAAGGTGTTTCGTTTGCCGTCAGCTCCAATTAATACATCAAATTCATATTGAATGACAGGATGGTCTGTAGGCAAAGTTTTCGCTCTCCAACCAATCTCTGAAAAAAGTCAACAAAATGGAAATGATTAAATATATTAAAAACTAATAATATACAGGATGTCCCATTTTAATTTCCTACCCCAAACAACTCTTCAGTATTGAAGATTTAAGGAAAATGATCTGAATAAAAGTTGTAAGGATTTAAGTGAGCTACCTTATGATGACATTGACTTTGACCTTGACCTCTATTTTCAAGATCGTTTGAAGATCATCTTGCATTTTCTAAATGGAAACTCTTATTTTTTATTACATTGTCTTTTTCTACTAGTTAATTTGAACAACTTTTGTCTAAAACATTTTCTATTTGTCTAATATTTTTCGAGATATTTGAGGAAAACTTGATAACTTTTTCAATATTTAACTTATGATATCTCGCTAACTATTTGTCGGAAGAAAAAATGGTACTAGACTTTCTTGCTTTATTTAGTCTCAAGAATATATTGTTACAATAGCGCCCTGACTTTTGTTAACTTATTGACTTTTGGAAATTTCAAAATCATCAAATTAACAAAAATCAGGGTACTATTATAACAATATATTCTTGAGATTAAATAAAGCAAGAAAGTCTAATACCACTTTTTCTTCCGACAAATAGCGATCATAAGTTAAATATTGAAAAAATTACCAAGTTTTCCTCAAATATCTCAAAAAATATTAGATAAATAAAAAAATGTTTTAGACAAAAGTTGTTCCAATTAAGTAGTAGAAAAAACAATGTAATAAAGAATAAGAGTTCCCATTTAAAAAACACAAGTTGACTTTCAAATGACCTTGAAAATAGAGGTCAAGATCAAAGTCAAGGTCATCATAAGGTAGCTCACTTAAACCCCTACAACTTTTATCCAGACCATTTTCCTTGAAACTTCAATACTGAAGAGTTATTAAAGTGGTCCGTTACTTTTGGGACAATATAATTTTATACATAATAAGTCAGTATATAATTTTTCCAACGCGCCAGTCTACACTCAATATCCAAAAAGACACGACCATTCTCATCCAACAACTTTGCGACATATCTCTTTCTGTGTTTCCCGCCATCTCCTTAAGCTTTTTATGTAAATCAAACGCATTATATCGTCTATCGAACTTCTCTAATTGTACGCATTCGCGGGAAAATCAGTTTGCCTTAGCCTGCCTTATTTTCCGCATGAATCTGGTTATATCTAACTTCATTTCTATTTACTTTTTTTTGACTTCTTGCCTTCATCAGTTTTAAACTTTCTTCAGTCATCAATTTTTGTTTCCTTGGTGATCCTTTAATTCATTGATTAAATATTTTTATCAATATTCCTTTCCATAGAATTTTTTATTGCCTCTGTGTGCAAGATGACGGCCATAATGTCACGATATGTCAAAAGAAAATATAAGTCAGGACCGGGCCAGATTCGAACTCAGGCCCTTCGATTACAATGCAACAGCCCAACCACCTACATCATCGTAGTAGACGCACAGTGAAGCTTATGGTGTATATGCTTATGAAATATGTGCTGAAGTCATGCATACGTCAAAAGAAAAAATAAGTCGGGGCCGAGTCAGACACAAACCCTGACTTTTCAGATACTATGCAACGGCCTTACCACCTAGACCACCGTAGACTCTTGCTACGTAGTAGACGCGCAGTGAAGCTTCTCAAAATATATGCTGCAATAACGGATAAAGTGGGGCGAGACATTGTCCTTGTCTGTAGATTTTTAGCGACTGGTATCAAACGTCTATTGAACCATTATCGAACATCTATCGAACGTCTATCAAACGTCTATCGTACCATATCAAATCACTATTAAATATCTACAAACATCTACCGTACCATATCGAACTACTGTCGAACGTCTATCGAACATCTGTCGAACCTCTAATAAACATCATACCGCAATAAAGTACTATATTTTTGTCAATTACAATTACCATATAAAATCCACCATATAAAAGGGGAAGGAGTAAGCACATTGGAAGAAACATCTGTGAAACCATCATTGAAATGTTTTATTTATTAAATATAATTCTTTCCAATTGAGAATTTTCAATACATTCTGTAAGATACAATTTTCCGTATGGTTATTACATCGAAAAGTATTAGTCAATTTCTACAGAGAAAGCATGTCATCGTAATCAGTGTCCATGAAACATATGTACAACATAAACATGAACACCGATATACCGATAAGAAGATGTGTCGTGGATATTGACAGCACAAGTATAATTTTGTAGTGATAGACAAGAACAACTCTGTGATTAATGGACGTTATAAGAGAAGATTTAACGACTTTGCGATATCATGACGTGTATAATTGTCGTCGGTACATAACGTCTATGCAAATACAATGACCTATATCGCAGAGATTGAAAATAGTGAGGAAATAATAAAAGAGATTGCGAAAACAAGATTGCGAATCGATTCATAAAAAATATTGTGCTTTGAAAACAGAAGCAGCAAGATATCACGTTAGAGAGGCATTTTAAATCTGTTATTGAAGCCTTGAAACAGATTGCTGAAAATACCGTCATTACAAAAGTCATTATAACATCAGTGTGAAAACTGAGACGCCACCCGTGAACGCCAAAATGAGAGAAACATTAATATCTGAAGAAGCAAAAGAACATACTACATGGGCTGAAAAGTCTTTGGCCTGACATATAGATGGCGCCACAAACTAAAAATCCTTATATTTCCTATAGAGTACCAACCTTAGCTTAGATGCTGTAAAAATTTCATGATATTTCGTTGACTCGTGTACAAGTTATAGCTTTCGAAGTGACGTTACCTCTGAATTTATTTTTACTATGGAAAAAAGTGAATTTCGTGTTTTGATTAAACATTGCTTCCTGATGGGAAAAAAACACTGTTGAAGCAAAGGCATGGCTTGATAAATGTTACGGCACATCTGCCCCACCGAATTCAACCATCAAATATTGGTTTGTTGAGTTTCGTCGTAACCGTACGAGCACAAATGATACACCACGTTCAGGAAGGCCAAATGAGGCAGTTACTCCAGAAAACATCCAGAAAATCAGTGAAATCGTGTTGAATGACCGCAAAATGAAATTGAGTGAGCTAGCTAACATCATAGGCATCTCAAAGGAACGCATATCATTCATGAATATTTACACATGAAAAAGCTTTGCGCGCGTTGAGTGCCGCGTTTTTTGACAATTGAGCAAAAAGCGGAACGTGTTCGACTTTCAAAGCAAAATCTGGCCCTGTTTAACCTCAATAAGAAGGAGTTTTTGCGTCGATTTGTCACAATGGATGAAACATGGATCCATCACTACACACCGGAGTCCAATCGGCAGTCAGCGGAGTGGTTATTGCCTGGTGAAAGTCGTCCGAAGCGCCCGAAGACACAACAATCAGCCGGCAAGGTTTTGGCCAGTATTTTTTGGGATGCGCATAACATAATATTCATTGATTATCTTGAACATGGTAAAACTATCAATAAAGAATATTACTGTACATTACTGGATCGATTGGACGAACGAGGTCAAGGTCAAACGGCCACATTTGGCAAAGAAAAAAATTTTGTTTCACCAAGACAATGCTCCAGCTCACTCGGCTCGCGATACGACCGATAAATTAAAGAAATTGCGCTATGAATTGGTCCCGCATCCCCCGTATTCTCCAGACCTGGCCCCCAGCGACTATTTCCTTTTTCCCCGACTGAAGCAGTGGCTCGCTGGTAAAAGATTTTACTCGAATGAGGAGGTCAAGTTGGAAACAAATGCCTATTTTGAGGGACTTGACACCGAGCACTATAAGACCGGCATCGAAATGTTAGCGGACCGTTACACTAAGTGCATTACTCTAAATGGAGATTATGTCGAGGAATAAAACACTTTTTTCATTAAAAAAATCGTTTTTTCATTGTTAAGCCAAAGACTTTTCAGCCCATGTAGTATAAAAGATGAGAAGCAAACAACATGTAACAAAAGACATAAATAAACACAAGTCATTTCGTCGAATCATCCAGATGTGCGTCCAAAGATGATCAAAGCGGAAACGATTACTAAACATTCCTATGTTGGATTCGGCACTTGAAAATAATACAAGATAACCATCTGTATAAAACATCTTTTGAGCCTGCATCGGTAAATATTCTTATGGCAGATAATGATAATGTTTTTGAGACCGCTGACGAGCCACTCACGATATCATTTGAATCAGTTACAGATGTCAGAAGAACAGTAAACGTTGTGCTATCATTTCGGTCCACTGGCACAAAAGTATATCAGAGTTGTATTGATCACTTCAGGCAATGTTTATGTATATCCCAGTAATGACGAAGTGATGCTCGGTGACAAACGTTTCGACGTGGACGAGAAGGATGATATAATCATAGACGGAATAAAATACGCAGAAACTCCGAGTATTTATAAATTGATATTCATAAGAATCTCCAATGATAGCCCCGATGTATATACTGAGGCCGATAAAGAAAAATACAAAAGCATACTGCTGGCGACGAATGCTTATAGACGTAGTCATAACCCCTTGATACTCGGTAACAAGAGTTATAGGTATATACAAATAATCGGCCCCTTACTGTTCCGTATGTCACACAATAAGATAGCCAGGAAAAGCTTTCTCACACTATGAACTACAATAGTGATAAATGACAACGCAATCAACTATGTGTATTGAGATGATCTCAACGAGCTTATGGATCATTTGCGTTTGCTGGAGGCCTTGCATCAACGGCTCAACGCTCACGATAACGAGATTCTATCATCGAAAAACTCCGGGAAGCCGGTCTCATTATAAATTAAAGCACACGTCATACAAATACGTCGACGATCAATAAATTTGGATGGAGCGAGAACAACGACAGATAATTACAAGTGGAATGGATCACTTAGAAATTACGTACGCAACAACGCTCTTTGTGTAGCCGATGATAACTTTAATGTGAAATCGTGCATGATACGATGTATAGCGCAATCAGAGGCAGATAGTAACGCAGCTAATAAATAGTATGAAAGCATCACTTTTGAGAAATCAACAGG